GGCGGGAAATTCAGACAAGAATATATTTATCAGATTTTTCCTTCTAAGTTTGAGGCTTTAAAAAAACACCACAGAGGAAACGCAGGGCTTCCTCTCCAATGGGTCTTTCTTGCTCCACTCTTACCTTTCCACCTTTCCTGTCTGTCACAGTTCCAAGGGACCAAGAGGTTGGATCCTTCTGAGCACTTTTCTAATGGGTTAAATTAGACCTGGACAGGCAGTACCTGACCTGACTTATCTATAAGGTATAGAGCTTGGCCTTGAGAGCTGCATGCTTGCCACTAACCTCCTCGCCTCCCACTGGGTCCCCCTGCCTTTGCTTTCAGCCCACTTCGGTCTACCTTCCCCTTTTACAGCCTGAGTGAGTCTTCCAAAGAGCCAATCCTATCATGGCAGCCTGTATTTAAAGCTCTCCAACTGGGACCCACTGCTTAGTGGAGTCTTTTCATTTGGTTTGCACTCTGGCAATATTCAAGTAAAGAAAACATCAGGTAATGGTAAATGCTACGATGGAATAAAACACGATAGAGGGAGAAAATGACTGGGGCTACTCTTACAGGGTCAGGAAGAGCCTCGCTAAGAAAGGTGACATTTTCACAGAGATCCGAGTGAAAAGAAGTGGCCAGCCTTGTGCAGATCTGAGAGAAGTCCAGGCAGAAGGAATAGCAAAAACACCGAAAGCAGCTACATTGGAGCCTCGGGGAAGGAAGAAGGACTGGGGTCTGTCAGGCAGTGGTGGAGCCTTGAAATCTATGTAGATCTTCTACCATCATGATGGTAGAGTTTGAAATGGAGGTGGGGGAGGTGGGGGGTGGTTATAATCTGGTGTACAGTTTTGAAATATCTCCTTGGCTGCTATGTAGAGAATGAATTATGTATGTGTGGGCAGAGGGAGTGGAAGCAATGATCTCAGTGACCAGCCTGTCACAGCAGTCCAGGAAAATGATGCTTCTGGCTTAGGCTTAGAGAGTATCAGTACAGTGGGGACAATGGATGGATTTGGGGCGTGGTTTGGAGGTAGAGCTGACAGACTTTGCTGATGAGTTGGAGGTGAGGGAGAGGACTGTGCAAAGATGGAGGGTTTTTTGGCTTGAGCAGCTGGGGAGATGGCAGTGCCATCTATTAAGGCCAGGAAGATTCGAGAAAGAGCGGATCTGTAGAGGGGGACACAAAGAGTCGTGTCCTGATTTGGCCATGGGAGCTGTGGGATGGCTATCAGAAACCAAAGTGGAGGTGTTAGGCAGGCAATTAGATGTGCTATCCTAGAGTTTATGTCAGGAATTCCACGTTAGATTGGAACTAGAATGTAAACTTAACAAGTAAAATGAAAAATTGCTGAAAGAAAACTAATATGGCTATTTTTATAATCTTAGAGTATTTTATAAATACTGTTTCAAATCATAAAAGACTAACAGATTTGACTATATACAATTTTTTGAGGTATAATTGACATATAACATTAAATTAGTTTCAGGTGTACAGCATAATGATTTGATATTTGTACATATTGCAAAATCACCATCACAATAAATCTAGTTAAAATTCATCACCTTACATAATCACAAAATTTTTTTTCTTGTGATGAGAACCTTAAGATCTACTCTCTCAGCGACTTTCAAATATGCAATATAGTATTATTAACCATATTCACCATGCTGTACATCCCCATGATTTATTTATTTTATTTTATTTATCTATTTTTATTTATTTTTTGGCTGTGTTGGGTCTTCGTTGCTGTGCACAGGCTTTCTCTAGTTGTGGTGAGCGGGGGCTACTCTTTGATGTGGTGCGTGGGCTTCTCATTGTGGTGGCTTCTCTTGTTGCGGCGCATGGGCTCTAGGTTTGCGGGCTTCAGTAGTTGTGGCTCACAGGCTCTAGAGCGCAGGCTCAGTAGTTATGGTGCACGGGCTTAGTTGCTCTGCACATGTGGGACCTTCCCGGACCAGGTCTCGAACCCATGTACCCTGCATTGCCCGGCGGATTCTTAACCACTGTGCCACCAGTGAAGTCCCGATTTATTTATTTTATAACTGGGGGTTTGTACCTTTTGGCCTCCTTCACCCATTTCACCCTCCCACCAGCCCCCACCCCTGGCAAACACCAGTCTGTTCTCTGTACATGTGAGCTTTTTTGTTGTTGTTGTTTTTAAGTGATATATGGTATTTGTCTTTCTCTGACTTAATACACTTACCATAGTGCCCTCAAGGTCCATCCATGTCACAAATGGCAAGATTTCATTCTTTTATATAGCTGAATAATATTCCATTGTATAATATATACCCTATCTATTCATCCATTGGTGGACATTTAGGTTGCTTCCATATCCTGGCTTTTGTAAATAATGCTGCAATGAACATGGGGGTGCCTATATCTCTTCAAGTTAGTTATTTTGTTTTCTTTGGATAAATATCCAGAAATGGAATTACTGAATCATATGATAGTTTATTTTTAATTTATTGAGGAACCTTCATACTGTTTCCCATAGTGGCTGTACCAATTTACATTTCCACAAACAGTGCACAGCATTCCCTTTTCTCCACATTCTCACCAGCACTTGTTATTTCTGCCTTTCAGCCATTCTGACAGGTGTGAGGTGGTATCTGATTATGGTTTTGATTTGCATTTCCCTGATGATTAGTGATGTTGAGCCCCTTTTCATGTACCTGTTGGCCATCTGTATGGCTTCTTTGGAAAAATGTGTATTCAGATCCTTTGCCCTTTTTTAATTGGATTGTTTGGGGGTTTTTGGTATTGAGTTGTATGCATTCTTTATGTATTTTGGATATTAACTGCTTATCAGACACATGATTTGCAAATATACTCTCTCATCTGGTAGATTTTCTTTTTATTTTATTGATGGTTTCCTTTGTTATGCAGAAGCTTTTAGTTTGATGTGGTTCCACTGGTTTATTTTTACTTTTTTGCCTTTGCTTTTGGTGTTAGATCCAAAAAATCATCACCAAGACCCATGTCAAGGAGCTTACCACCTAGGTTTTCTTCCAGAAGTTTTGTGGTTTCAGGGCTTACATTGTAGTCTTTAATCCATTTTGAGTTGATTTTTGTGTATGGTGTAAGATAGTGGTCTGGTTTCATTCTTTTGCATGTGGCTGTCCAATTTTCCCAACACCATTTATTGAAGAGACTGTTCTTTCCCCATTGTATATTCTTGGCTCCTTTGTTGTAAATTAATTGATCATATATGCGTGTGTTTGTTTCTAGGCTGTCTGTTCTGTTCCATTGATCTATGTGTCTGTTTTTATGCCAATACCACACTGTTTTGATTATTATAGCTTTGTAATATAGTTTGAAATCTAGGCACATGATGGCTCCAGCTTTGTTTTTTCTCAAGTTTGCTTTGGCTATTCAGGTTCTTTTGTGGTTCCATACAAATTTTAGGATTGTTTGTTCTAGTTCTATGAAAAAAGCCATTGGAATTTTGATAGGGCTGGCATTGAATCTGTGGATTGCTTTGGATAGTATGGACATTTTAACAATATTAATTCTTTCAATCTCTGAGCATGGGGATTTATTTGTGTCTTCTTCAATTTCTTTCATTAATGTCTTAGAGTTTTCAGTGTACAGGTCTTTTACTATCTTGTTAAATTTATTCCTAGGTATTTTTTATGTAATTTTAAGTGGGATGATTATTTTAATTTCTCTTTCTGGTAGTTCATTATTAGTATATAGAAATGCAACAGATTTTTGTATATTGATTTTATAGCCTGCAAATTTACTGAATTCATTTATTGTTTCCAACAGTGTTTTGGTGGGGTCTTCAGGGTTTTTTATATGCAGTATCATGTCTTCTGGAAATAGTGACAGTTTTACTTTTAAAACTGGATGCCTTTTACTTCTTTTTCTGGTCTGACTGCTCTGGCTAGAACTTCCAATACTATGTTGAATAAAAGTGGCAAGAGTGGCATCCTTGTGTTCCTGATCTTAGAGGAAATGCTTTCTGTTTTCACCACTGAGTATGATGTTAACTGTGGGTTTGTCATATATGGCCTTTGTTACATTGAGGTATGTTCCCTCTATACTCACTTTGTTGAGAGTTTTTTTTTTCTCATAAATGAATGCTGAATTTTGTCAAATACTTTTTCTACATCTATTGAGATGATCATATGATTTTTATTATTTGTTCTGTTAATGTGGTGTATCACGTTGATTGATATCTGAATGTTGAACCATCATTGCATCCCTGGAATAAATCCCACTTGATCATAATGTATGATCCTTTTAATGTATTGTTGAATTCTGTTCGCTAATATTTTGCTGAGGATTTTTTCATCTCTGTTCATCGTGGATATTGGCTTGAAAATTTTCTTTTTTCTGTGACATCTTTGTCTGGTTTTGATATCTGAGTGATGTTGGCCTTGTGAAATGAATGCGGAAGTGTTCCCTCCTCTTCTGTTTTTATTGGAAGAGTTCGAAAAGGATTGGTATTAATTCTTCTTTGAATGTTTGATAAAATTCACCAGTGAAGCCATCTGATTCTGGACTTTTGTTTGTTGGGAGACTTTTGATTACTGATTCAGTCTCCTTACTAGTAATTGATCTATCCATGTTTTCTATTTCTTCATGATTTAGTCTTGGTAGGCTGTATGTTTCTAGGAATTTATTCATTTCTTCTAGGTTGTCTAATTTGTTGGGATATAATTGTTCATAGTAGTCTCTTATGATCTTTTGTATTTCTGTGGTATCAGTTGTGAGGTCTCCTCTTTCATTTTTTATTTTATTTATTTGAGACCTCTCTCTCTCTCTTTTTTTTTTTTGGTTAGTTTACTTAAAGGTTTGTCAATTTTATTTATCTTTTCAAAGAACCACCTCTTTCATTGATCTTTTCTGTTGTTTTTTCAGTCTCTATTTCATTTATTTTCACTTTGATCTTTGTTATTTCCTTCCTTCTACTAACTTTGGGCTTGGTTTGTTCTTCCTTTTATAGTTGCTTGACATGTAAATTTAGGTTGTTTATTTGAGATTTTTCTTGTGTCTTAATGCAGGCGTTCATCATTATGAACTTCCCTCTCAAACCTGCTTTTGCTGCATCCCCCAAATTTTGGTAAGTTGTATTTCCATTTTCATTTGTCTCAAGGTATTGCTTAATTTCCCTTTTGATTTCTTGTTGACCTGTTGGTTGTATAGTAGCATATTGTTTAAGCTCCACATATATGTGAATTTTCCAGTTTTATTCTTATAATTGATTTCTAGTATCATACCATTGTGGTCAGGAAAGATGCTTGATATGATTTTAATCTTCTTAAATTTATTAAGACTTGTATTGTGACCTAACATATGATCTGTCTTGGAGAATGTTACATGTGCCCTTGAGAAGAATATGTATTCTGCTGCTTTTGGATGGAAAGTTCTGTATCTATCTGTTAAGTTCATTGTATCAAATGTGTCATTTAAGGCTGACGTTTCCTTATTGATTTTATGTCTGGATGATCTATCTACTGATCAAAATGGAGTATTAAAGTCCCCTATTATTGTTGTATTGCTGTCTATTTCTCCTTTTAGATCTGTCAATATTTGCTTTATATATCTAAGTGATCCTATGTTGGATGCATAAATAGTTACACATGTTATATCTTCTTGTTGGATTGACCCCTTAAGATTACGTATGTCCTTCTTTGTCTCTTTTTAGTCTTTATTTTAATGTCTATTTTGTCTAAGTATAGCCATCCCAGCTTTCTTTTGGTTTCCATTTGAGTGGAATATTTTTTCCCACCCCTTAACTTTCAGTCTGTATGTGTTCTTACATCTGAAGTGAGTCTCTGTAGGCAGCATATAGATGGGTCTTATTTTTTTAACCCATTCAGCCACTCTGATTGGAGAATTTAGTCCACTTGCATTTAAAGTAATTATTGATAGATACATACTTATTGCCATTTTGTTCATTGTTTTCTGGTTGTTTTGTAGCTCCTCTCTGTTCCTTTCTTCTTCTCTTGTACTATTCCTTTGTGGTTTGATGACTTTCTTTAGTGGTATGCTTAGATTCCTTTCTCTTTCTCTTTTGCATATCAGCTATAAGTTTTTGTTTTGTGGTTACCATGAGGCTTACATAGAACAACTTATATTTGTAACAGAGTCTATTTTAAATTATTAACAGCTTCAGTTTGAATGCATTCTAAAACTCTATATTTTTACTCCCCTACTCCCATTTTTATGTTTTTGATGCCACATTTTATATCTTTTAATCTAATGTACCCCTTAACTAATTATTTTTGTCATAATTATTTTACTAGTTTTGTCTTTTAACCTTCATACTAGCTTTATAAGTGATTCATCTACCACCTTTACAACATTAGATTTTTCTAAATTTTACTATATACTTACCTTTTCCAGTGAGGTTTATACTTTTCATATGTTTTCCTATTACTAATGAGTACCCTTTCTTTTCAGCTTAAAGAAGTCCCTTTATCATTTCTTGTAAGGCTGGTCTAGTGGTGAAGAACCCCATTAGCTTTTGCTTGCCTGGAACTCTCTTTTTCAATACTGAATGACAACTTTGCTGGGTAGAATATTCATGGTTGGAAGTTTTTTTTTTTTTTCTTTAGCACTTTGAATATATCATGCCATGTCCTTCTGGCTTATAAAGTTTCTGCTGAGAAATCTGCTGATAGTCTTACGAGGTTTCCCTTGTACATAAGGAGTTGTTTTTCTTGTGCTGCTTTTAAGATTCTCTCCTTGTCTTTAACTTTTGACATTTTAATTATGTGCCTTGGTGTGGGTCTCTTTGGGTTCATCTTATTTGGAACTCTCTGCATTTCCTTCCCCAGATTAGGCAAGTTTTCAGTCATTATTTCTTCAAATAAGTTTTCTGCTCCTTTCTCTCTTCTCCTTCTGGGAATCCAATAATACAAATGTTGGTCTGCTTGATGTTGTCCCATAAGTCCCTTAAACTATCTTCACTTTTTTTTCATTTTTTTTTCTTTTTGCTGCTCTAATTGGGTGAGTTCCACTGCCCTTTCTTTCCTCTGCTTCATCTAATATGCTGTTGAATGCATCTAGTATATTCTTCAGTGCAGTTACTGCATTCTTCAGTTCTGTGATTTCTATTTGGTGCTTTCTTGTACTTTTCTATTTCTTTGTTTAAGTTCTTGCTGTGGTCATACATTCTTCTCATGAGTTTGCTGAGCATTTTTATAACCATTACTTTGAACTCTTTACCAGGTAGATCACTTATCTCCATTTCATTAAGGACTTTTTCTGAAGTTTTGTCTTGTTCTTTCATTTGGAACTTATTCCTCTATCTCTTCATTTTCCTTGACTCTCTGCATTGGCTTTCCATGCATTAGATGAAAGAGTCACCTCTCCCAGTCTTTAAGGAGTGGTCTCATGCAGGAAGTGAACCTTATCATTTAACACTGTTCTAGCTGTTGGTTGTGTCCCCTTTGTGATTGTCCAAGCAGCCTATTTTATTCTTAGTGGCTCCCAATAATTAAGGATGTGCCAAGACCTGTCAGTGTCCCAAAGGGCATGATCTCAGTCAGCACCTAGATTCAGGCTGATTGGAAGTCAGACCCTCAGAAAACAGCTTTTGAAGTATGTAAATATACATACAGTCCTGTGAGACTTCAAGCATAAGCCCTGCTGGCCACCATAGCCAAGCAAATTAGAGATGTTTCCTGACAACAGCTGCAAAAAATCAGGGCACCAGAGGAGGGTACAAGCTCCTATCCAGGAGATACCAGTGAACTGGAGTGAGGCAGAGGGAGAGTGCAAAAATGGTGACTGCCAACCTCTGTCCCCAGAGAGTTCTCCAGCAGGTCCCTCCCTAGATGTGTGTTAGGTTAGATGCCTGGCACTGAGGCCGATGCTTTAAGACAAGCAAATAAGCCCCTTTCACATAAAGTCTAGGCACTGGTTCCTGGGACAGGTGAGTCTGAGTGCAAGAGCCTTTTAAGAGCCTTTCTCATTTCACTATAGTTTGTGGGTCTTGTGGACGTGAGCCCTGCTGATTTTCAAGCTAGATGATTTGGGGACTCATCTCTTAGGTGCAGGTCTTAAAAGTTGGAGTGTCTGATGTGAGGTTCAAACCCTTTGCTCCTCAGGGAGAAGCTCTGGGATTTGAGTTCCGTCTCAGTTGTGGGTCACCATGCCAGGGTAGGGTTTATGGCAAGATGTATCTCAACCTCTCCTACCCACTTTGATGTGAGGTTTTTTTGTTTTTTTGTTTTCTTCATTTGCCTGACATGTAGGAGTTGCTCCACTAGTTTTTAGGTTTTTTGGAGGAAATTTTTCCGTATGTTGCTGTAGATTTGGTGTGTCCATGAGTTCAGGATCTTCCTCTGTAGCCATCTTGAACCAGAACCGAGAAGATTTCCTCTTGATTTTATAAGAGGGGTTAGCTGGAGGAAGGAGTCAAAGACATCCTTTAAGGTTTCAAGCCCAAGAAACTAAGAAAAGAATGGTGCCGATCAGAGAAATAACAGAAAATCAAGGCATGGGAAAAGATGTTGACCTAAGAAAAGGGATGAGTTTAGTTTTAAACAGGTTGAATTTCAGGTGACAATATTTATCCAGATGACTTAGGGATCTCAGGCAAGTGGAAGTGTGAATCTGAAGCTTGGCGATGTCAGAGCCAGAGGCATAGATCTGGGACTGGTCCATAAAGAGGCCATCAAAGCAGACGAAACTGCTCAGGGGACCACAGAGAAGAGCTAGACGAGAACAAGGCTGATTCTTGAGCATTGTCCACACTTCCGAGCCTGAAGGAGGTAAGTAAATCACTAAAGAAGAGATAAATATTCATAAAAGTAGAAGGAGAAACAGGATAGGGTAGCATCACTCACGAGAGGACAGTTTCAATGTGAGGATAAATAACCAAAGTTGACATGTGGCTAGAATAAGCATAATGCTGAGGTCAGAAAGTACTTTTAGGAATCACATAGTTCAAGTCCTCATTTTGTAGGTGAGGCCATTGTGTCTTAAAGGAGTTAATTATCCTACCCAAGGTAACAGATACTGAGTTACACCAATGTAACTTTATCTCTGCCTCCTGTTCTTTCAGCTAAACCAAACCCTGCCATCTTGCCATTTTTCTAATTGTCATATTATGTAATCTACAATACACCATATTTAAGCTCTTAGAGGCAGGGACCATATTTTTTTTAAAAAACTAGATGAGAAAGACTCAGTGCAAACTATTATTATCCATAAAAAATGGTTCATGATAGGGCTTCCCTGGTGGCGCAGTGGTTGAGAGTCCGCCTGCTGATGCAGGGGACACGGGTTCGTGCCCCGGTCCGGGAGGATCCCACATGCCGCGGAGCGACTGGGTCGGTGAACCGTGGCCGCTGAGCCTGCGCGTCCGGAGCCTGTGCTCCACAACGGGAGAGGCCACAACAGTGAGAGGCCCGCGTACCACAAAAAAAAAAAAAAAATGGTTCATGATGTTATTGTATCAAGTTCAGGATTACCCTATGTCATTAATTGGAGAAGTCTAGCAATGAGATAAACAGATTAATTGGAGAAATCTAGTAATAAACAGAAAAAGAAAATACATTTTATTTTACAAATATGAATTTATTTTCCTCATTACAAGCTGGCAGACATTTATTTTAATAAAAGAAAGAAAATGTAGAAAAGTACATATAAGAAAATAAATATCACTGATAATCCTACCACCCACAGACAATTACTCTTAGTATTTTAGTGATTTTTTTCCTCATGTTGTGTCTATTGGTTTATACAGTCGAGGTCATACACAAGAGACAATTTGTTTTCTGTTTCTTCTGTTGATGTTATATTACGAACATTTATTGTGGCTGACACTCATTTTTTGTGATTTCTTTTTTTTCCTTCCAGTTTTATTGAGATATAATTGACATATAGCACTGTGTAAGTTTAAGGTGTGCATGATTGACTTACATACAACATAAAATGATCATCACATAAGTTTAGTGAACATCCATCATCTCATATAGATACAAAATTAAAGAAAAAGAAAAAAATTTTTTCTTGTGAAGAGAACTCTTAAGATTTCCTCTCTTAACAGCTTTCATATATAACACACAACAGTGTTAATTAAATTTATCATGTCGTACGGTACATCCC